GCTCCATGCTGGCAGAGCAATAGTGAATTAGCATGCTATACTGTGCACTTCAATTAAAAAGCAGCCTCATCTTTCCTATTTCCAAGGTACAGCAGAGCAAATCTAATTGTGTCATGGAGTCAGTCCTCATCTTTGCAGAGTAACCAAGGCTTTTGTTGGTTTTTTTTTGCTTTTTGTTTTTAAAAGATTTGTCGTCTTCTGAATGAGGCAATGTGGTCTTTTATGAAACTTGCCTCCTAATTGCAGGCAATAAACATGAACGCAGCCAGCAGCAGAGGCTGTAACAAGTACGGTTTAAGTAAAATGAAAATAAAGGTAAGAAAAGAACCACAAAGCAAGTTCATTTTACACACGATCTGAATAGTTAGACCAGCAGGATCTGGATTTCAGTGCTCACAAGAGACATATATATGCCTCCTTCAATATAAACTAAAAAAAGCAATCAATCCCCCAAACCTGTAGCTTAAATGCTGAGATAGGCAAAGATTTTTTTATATTTAGGAAGTTAGAAGGTAAGACTAATTAATGATAAATATTTATAAGCCAGGATGTTATTAACTTGAAAAACATTTGCTTATAGCATAAAGAATCTCTGTTCTCACACTTAGGCTGAGAAGTTTGAATATGAGATTTGGGGTTTTTTTGAAGTATAGAAGCATCCTCTGTGGTTTGGAAATTTAACTGATGTCTTGCTTTTGACTTAAGATCTCTCTATCATACCGATCATCTCACCTCAAGTGAGCAGGTGAGTCCTTGTGCTTCCTTTTACCCCCTACCCATTTCCTACCTCTGGTATAAACAACGCAGTATCTTTGGAAAGGAATTAAGCAGGGTGAATCCACAGAATCACAGAAATGTTTGTCTGAATGGATTTCTGGAGGGCAGCTAGTCCAAGCTCCTACTCTGAGTGGGACTAGTACCAACATCAGTTGAGGTTTGCCATGGCTTTGCCTGCCTGAGCCCTGAATACTCCAGAGATGGAGAGTACACAGCCCCACTAAACAACATGTTCCTGTCCTGTGTCACCTTCTTGGCAAATTTTTTTCCTGATGCCCAACGTGAAACGTTCAGCCTGCAATTTGTGGCCGTTGCCCCTTGCTGTATCACCTGAGACTACAGAGGATCATCCCTCCCTCTTTGTAAATACTCTTCCAGTGTCTTTGTTACTGTCTTTCAAGCAGCTGTAGGCTGCTGTTTTCTTGCCTCCGTTGTTTTTCACACCCCTTTTGGCCAAAGAGATCCACTGATATTTTTGAAGAGTTTGGACATCACTCATCCTAGTCAGTCTCATTCTAATGATTCCAGGTAGATGTACATTACCCTTACTAGACCTGGGGTTTCATCTGAGTGACAACAAATTACACAAAATTTAGCAGGAACACAAAATAAACCCAGATTATCAATTTGATTCAAATATTTATTCATTCTTACCAGAGCAGCTGGAGAGACTTGTTGACTTTTGGACCAAAACCAAAAAGCCAGACATTTAAATTTGTTCATTTCACATCACAGTAATGATTCTGACTATTTAATGCCACTTTTTAGAAGGATAAGTAAAAAAAAACAGTAATTAATACACCTTTGCCTGCTCTCTAGTGAAAAGACAAAAAGTGCACCACAAATACACCACCACAAGTTAGACGCTGGAAAGTGAGTGCTACCATCTCAGATGTTTGATTGATTTACTATTTTTATGATTTTATGCTATAATTACTACAGTAATGAATTACAGTGGGAAAGCAATACTGTCATTTTTTAATAATTTGCTGTTCACCACGTTGTCTTTATGTTTACTATTAAATGTTTTGTACACTCACGTTATCTGATTCAAAGAAAATTCGTGCATTAGTGCTGTTAAACCTAATGATGGAAATTGCATTACGATTTTTAATGATATTCAACTTTTATACAGTTGCAGATTGTTATGAAAGAACACAAACCTTAACTTTATTATCATTAATCAGCATTAGTAAATATAATTGACATTTTATACAGAACCAGCTTTAAGTAACTTATTGGCAGCAATACAGATGCCTCTTAATACTACCCTCTGGCTAGCTATGCTGTTTGGGCGCCAGAGTGTCTGCACTAATGACTTGGAATTAAAATCAAATAAAGGCTGAGAACTGTAATTCAGTATAAAACAAACAGTCATGCTTAGTACCAATTCTTTATATATATATATATAATTTGGATATATCTGGAATTTTTAAAATTTACAGTGCATATAAAACAGTAGAAGTGTTTGAGACTAGGTAACAAAATAGGATAGAGAAAAAATGAATCTGATGTTCCCAGATTTCTACACTTACCCTTAGGCACACCATAGGAATTGAAATGAGGAGAAAAAGTAGACAGTGTAATTAACCTTTCCTTTCCACTTTTTTTTTAAACAACAATGAAAAAAAAGGCAGAACATTTTAGAATTATAAATAGTGAAAATACACATACATGTTTCTCTGCCATTATTTTTCATCTCAGCAATTTCTGTAGTTTCTTGAGGATTTAATGTGCTTAGGCATGAAAAGGGACCTAATCCTTAAAAAAATTTCCAGTGAAGATGAGGATTATGTTATCAAAACGATTTAAGAAAAACTGCTTCACTGTACAACCAGGAAAGCTGTTCTGTCTCTCAAACCCTCATGCCCTGACTTCTAGATATCAAGTGGTGTTTCTTTTTTCCAGAGCATACCTGATCTCTCTCTTCCCCATACCACCCATGTATGACCTATTTGACTTCAGTGCTGGGGAAAAAAAAAAAAGGAGTAGAGCCAAAATATTTCCTAGCACTTTCCTGTCATGTTGGGATCTCCAGGGGCCACCACACGTTGAAGTCCCCTGAAGGGCTACTGATAAATCTTGTCAAATGTATCGGTATTTTATCCAGTTTATCCTCGCCCTTTGCTTTGATAAACCACATTTAAAGTCACTATAATTTCATTTTAGCCAACTCTACGGAAGAACCTCAAGATCTAGCCTTCTTAAGATCGCTTGTTTTATTAATTTATTTGTCTAAAGAAGTAGATTCTTTTCCGAGCTCTCATTTTGGTGAGACAGTTAAGAAAACACAAGACTATATTTAAGCAACACTAGTATACATTAAACATTCAAAAGAATATCCATATTGTATGGGCAAGAAAGAAATTTTATTATTATACCGACATATATGTATATATAATGTAATCATCTTCTTGCTTTATGGATCTGATCTCCTCCAAGGAGAGTCACAAATCCACACGATTGCCCTGAGTGCTCAGATTTTGCATTTGGTTCTCTGATTTTACAATAGCTGAAAGATATGTAAAAACTCATGTAGCCAGACAGCTCCCTACTGACTACATATCTAAGCAACTTCACAAGCATATATTATTACAACCAGTGAAGGCTGGAAATAACATATGCCTAAAAAAAAAAGAAAAAAAAAAGCGTGCCTGAAAGGAGTCAGTTTCAGCTTCCGCATGAAACCTTCAGGGCTCTCCCTGACCAAACCACACCTTTCTACAGTGTGCTACCATCTCAGGGGGGGACAAGCCAGATTACTGGTTATGCTCTGCAGAGTGAAGGGTGGGAAATGCTTCATAAAATTATAAAAACAGCTACTATAGCTCTTTGTCGTAGAATGCAATGCAAGGAACAAATATTAATAATATTACCATTTTCCTCGTGTGGTCCTGGAGAGTTTTTATAATTGTCTCCCATTTTTAATCATAACTTTGGTAAATGACCACTGGCCATGAAAAGCATCCAGATTACTTTGATTAAAAATAATAATCTATAGCATAGAACAGATCGACATAATTTTGTTCACAGAAAATAATAAAATGTCCCATGCACTGTGCCTGACAGTATTGCTATGATAATGCTACACCTGAAGTGTGTCCCCAGCTGCACTGAAATGATTACGGCTCCTATTGCCTCCCTACTAAAAGTTTTAAAAGTTTAATGGTTTAGTCATCTAACCACACCTCAGTTCTTAAAAGTTTTGTATTTGAGGAAGTGAGAATGAATTAAGATGTCTACTAGACCTCCCCAAGGGGCTCAACTGAGTAGTATGTGTCAATTTTAGGGTACGTAATCATGATTCCCACTATGCATCTTCCTCTTTTTCCTATCTCCCCAAAACGTAGTAAGATGGGAAATCAAACAGGCTTCTGACTTCCAAAAATTTGGTGGTCAAACTCTAGAAAATTTCTCCTGGTAGACTGTGAAACAAGATTTTTCAGGGACTTCCAAGTTCACCACATTTGAGCATGTTTCAGAGCCAAAACAAATTTCAAACCATGATCAAACACGCAAAACTCTGAAAACTTCAAAAGGATATTAGTACGAGAATTGACTTTTGTGCACATTTAATTTCTTTTCATTGGCAAGACAACCCACATTCTCCTAACTGACATCAGGGGACGTATTGATAAACTCTGCATCGGATTTCTACCTGGTAGAGTCATCAGGCACAGATAATTCCAACCTAAACTGTATAAACCATCAAATCTACAGGTTGCAGAACACAGGCTCTTAGAAGAGAAGACGTTGACTGTAGGTGGCACTACTGGAATGTATGCCCTATTCTGTGATTCTAAAATACAGTCAGATTCATTTGCTAAAAATTGTGAAATGAAATGTGTGTACATTTCATATCCTTCAAAATCATTATTGATATACGCAGTGGTTACCGGGTTGTGATCTCAAAGATATCTACAGGGCACTGAAATGGAAACCAACAAATTCTGTCCAAGAGCTTTTTGAAAATTATTTGGTTTTGTCTTGTTCCTTGTCAAATACATAATGCATTTTTGTTCTCAGCAAAACTAAGCATTTTGTATCCTCTCAGCTTCTGTCTTCTCTTTTTTCGCTTTCAGCACTAAATATTTAAACACATTCAACCTAAAAATCTCGAGCTAGTAAGCCGCTGCTTGTGTCTTCCCCCCGAGGTGTAACTATCAACGTGGTAGTGCAGGATTGCTGAAGAGACATGAAAGAGATTGCGGTTACAGTCCTACCTGCCCACAGGCCAGGCCCATGCCTCTCTCTCCCATGCCATGAGGACATGATAAATTTAACTCCAGCGCATCTGCACCACCAGCCTATGAAACATGCAAAAGAAAAAAAAAGCAAAATTAACATCAAGTAATGTACTCTTTCCTGTAGCATTTATTGTTCATGTTAAATAGATTTCTTTAGACATTTGATTTTTTTTTTTTTTTAAGAGAGAAAGCTACGTTTATGATATCCTGAAAAAGAAACGTGCTGATCATTACAGAGAAATTTCAAAAACTGATGTGGCTTCCCAAAATTACCAACAAAATTAAAGTAAAAAATAAATTAAAAAAAAGACAAGCACAATACGTAGTTGGTTCTGGAAAATGTTAAAAAATGAAACGTAATTACAAGGCCTTAGGGCAGCACTGAGAGCAAGGTTCAGTAGTCACTGTTGCCCAGGTGCTTCTGTGCTCTGGAGAACTGTGACTCAGAAGTAAATTTCTCCTTTCTGTTTTAATGAATTTAGTATCTAAATTTTCTGCAGGGGCCTGTACTGTGCATAGCTTTTGTCGTTTATTTAATGTTGTTTCTGAAGTCAAACGAGAGTATTAAAAAAAGTCTCTACGAACATATTACTCATGCTAATTTCTCTTCAGCACCTTTTATTAGCTACAACTAGAAAGGCAAAGGAGCTGAGGTGTGCAAGGATAGCACACGAACATGCTCCTCTTCCTCCCTGCTACTCCTGTTGCCTTCCACGTGACTCTAACCAGTATTTTGTTCTGCATTTGCATTTTGTTTTTGCTTATTGAACTGGAGTAACTTTGCTTGCAGCGTGGCCACGGTTC